GTGTTTCCCATATGGGTTCTTTGGTGAAGGAATGGGTACATTTACTATTCAAGAACACTAACGGGACGACCCATTCTTAGCCCTGAACCAATCTGCGACATGAACCGGACTTCAAAAGAACCAAACCGGTACTAACCGAATGAATCATGCAAAAGTAAATAAAAACAAAAATAAAATGTCAAGAGAAAGCATTTAAGTCCGTGAAAGTGAGAAAAAGGAGATAAGAAGTTGCAGTGTCCCTTGTCCACCCAATCCACAATTTCTGTTTTTATTTATCTTATTTTTGAGCTATTTATCTATCTATATTTTTGTTTATTTTGTCTCCAATTTCTAAAGAATATTATTTTTATTTTTGTATTTTTATTCGTCATGAGTGGTGCCAAAATTGATTTTTTGGATCTATTAGTTATGGCTATCTTCAGCTATCTCTGAATTTTCTTTTATTCGTCTAAATCTATATACCATATCATTTTGTCCATGGTCCAAGTTCAACGTGCATTAAATGTTATATTCGGTCGAATTTGAAAATATGCAGAATAATACTCATTTCAGTATGACTAATCAAGGCAAGTGTGTTAATTAGGCTTGAAAAAATAATGTACTATCAAATGTTCTATACAAGTGAACAAAAAAAAAACATACACACAAAGAAATTAGTAGCTATCTTTAACATCAATTTTCAAATATATGACATTTATACCGAATTATGGGTAGTTGGACGAAGATAAACGTTACATGTTAGAAAATATCAAAAAAAATACTGCGAGGATGTTTTAGTTAAAAGCACACATTTTAAGATTTTTCTTTTTCTTTTAAAAACTATATTTAATATTTAATTTAACAAAATTCAACCAATGATATAAAATAAAATATAAATGCCATAAAATAACAAATATATTTAAAAATTACATAAAAAGTTGTAAAACATCATATCTAATGAAACAAAAAAAAAATCTCTAAAACATCCTATATAATAAAGCAGAGGGAGTAATAGTTACCTTTCGTCAAAAGAGGTGGAACGTTATAAGTGAAAAAACAACTCGAGAAACATATTAGTTTGAACAGCTGCCGTTTCAAACTTATATTTTATCGAAACGTTACAAATATATAAAATTATAATTTAAACAAAAGAAGACACCTTATTTCACAAAATAAAAAAGAAGACCCCTTCCATTTTGTTTAGAAAGTGCAATTTATGTAACTGTTATTTTTGTTTGATCACACAAAAAGAAACTTACGAACTTTGGAACGGTAAGTTATTCTTTGTAGTAGTATAATCAAGTCCTAAATAAAAGTCAAACACTACAACATTCAATAATTATCTGCTAAAAACTATGGTTTATTGGCTTATCACATGATCTAAAACGAGTAAGAAAATAAATGCAACAACTTAAATTATTTTAAACAGTAAGAACAAAAACAATGTCAAAATCATCGGTCCCTGATCCCCGGTGCCGGCACCCACCCGTTCAAATCAACTATTTAATTTTTCCGACCATCCTATTACTCTATTCCATTAAATTCTAAACTCCAAAAATAACAAAAATTAAATAAAGTAAACGTCAGAGATGTCCCAGGCAAACCACAGTCAAATCTGCAACAATATGGTTACAAATCTTTAATAATACTATTATTCTTATCATTAATTAACTCCCAAAATGACAGTCCAATTAAATAATCACAAAACATCATAAAGTAACCAAAATTAAAATAATAACAATTTTTGGGGTTTCACATGTTTTATAAGCAAAGCCAGTGTGGTGGACCTAACTCTTCACGCTGTCCCGAAAAAGACTCTTTTCTTCTCTCTTCTTCTTTCTTTCACACAACTCTCTCATTCTACTCTCTGTTTTTTCTTTAATCATAACATTTTTTGAAGAACAGAGATTTTTTTGTTTGTGTAAGTGATGGGAAATTGTCAAGCGGTTGATGCGGCGGCGTTGGTTCTACAACATCCTGACGGCAAGATCGATAGATATTACGGTCCTGTATCCGTTAGTGAGATCATGCGTATGTATCCTGGTCACTACGTTTCTCTTATTATCCCTTTACCGGAGAAGAATATTCCGGCGACAACGACAACGACGACCACAGATGACAAGAGCGAGAGAAGGGTTGTGAGGTTCACGCGCGTGAAACTTCTCCGACCAACGGAGAGTCTTGTACTTGGTCATGCTTATCGTCTCATAACTTCACAAGGTTTGTTTTTGTATTTTTATAACTCTTTTATTTTGTTTTTATTTTGTGTTCTCTTATAAAGGGTTTCTGATTAAATTAGTGTTTGATTTGTTTTCAGAGGTTATGAAGGTTTTAAGAGCCAAGAAGTATGCGAAAACAAAGAAACACCAAAGTGAAACGAGTATGGAGAAGAAGAAGCCATCATCGGAGAAGAAGATTGATGAAGAATCCGACAAGAATCAGAATCTGGTACGGAATCTTTACTTAGAATTTAAGATATTGTTTAAGCTTAAAGAATCAAGTTTTACTCGATTTGTTAAAGTAATTAGATATGGGGTTGGTTTTAAGAAGCTTTTATGTAACAATTAATATAAAAAATAAGAAAATTAATGGGTTTGTGTTTTTTTTTTGTATAGGAAACGAAAGATGAGAAGCAACGTTCAGTGTTAACGAATTCAGCTTCATCGAGATCAAAAACATGGAGGCCATCACTGCAGAGCATCTCTGAAGCTACGAGTTGATGTTTGGTTTTTACTTGAGGGACAAGAAACATAGTCTCTGTATGAGATCAATCAGAAGATGGAATCTGAAGAAGAAAGAGAGATAAACATTATTGAATAAACTCTTCTCTCGTGTTCCTTTCTGGTTATAATTTACATAGGAGATGAAAATTTTATAGATTAAGATGTAAAAAAATTCTGCAGAGATTAAGAACTAAGTCCCTTTTTTGTCCTGTCAATGTATATATGTTCTCCATGTGAAGCAATCAATGGAAAAAAAGATTGTAAAAAACATATGTTTTTGTTGTTGTTTACAATTTATTATGTGTCTTAAGCCATTAATGGTTTACACAAATTCTTGGAATAAAATTCAAAAAACACTAGTTAAATGAGTCCAAAAACATTTGATTTAGATGTATGTGAGGTATAAATGGTTGTAAGAATTGCATTGAGTTGGATTGATCATTGGTAGGTACACATCCTTTCATGCATTTATGGGAGGTTATTTAAGAAAATAACCAAATATATTTGAGATCATTGAGTTATTTTCTTATCATACAGAGAAAGTAGACTTTCTCAAAATTTGTATTTCTTTGAATGAAAAATCAAACTGAATTTACATTTTTTTTATATATATAATTTTTTTTTGTCTAATATAACAAAGAAAAGCTAAGTAAACCAACAATGATGTGCATTTGCATCAAACCCATACCAAACCAAAAATTGAACCGATATATTATGAACCGAACAATTTTAGTTTTTAGATTTCCTTGAAATAAAAAAAAAAGCTGGAAAGAAATCCAACCGAATCCAGCCAATGGATTTTAGACTCTTATAAGAAAATATTTGATTTTTATTTCTTTCTACTTATGACGTAGGAATCTCAATGTCAATGTCATTTTTTATTATTTTTTCAGCTACCAATCTCAATTTATTTTGAAATATTCTTCTGAAACCAGAAACCAAAGAAATCCAGACCAAACCGAAATAACCGAACCGGAATAAACCCCCTATCAAGTCACAGAAACACTTAATTCTAAAGATTGCGATAGCCGCTGATAGGCCAATCACTCTTTTGGCCTTATCCGAAATCTTTTTGTGGGCAGAATCGTCTGTCTTAGGCCAATCTCTCTGTCTCTCTGTCCAGAGAGATATGGCAGCTTCAACTGTACCACTCTCGTGCTTCAAACTCAATCATCAACCAAACCTTCTTCATGGCTGCAGCAAATCATCTAACCAAACACTTCTCAAATTCAATTTTTCACCTCTCTTGATCTCCTCACGCAGCGGCTCACGACGTTTCAGAGTCTTGCCAGAGACCATCACCGTCAAATTAGAAGAGGAGGAGAAGGAGAATGAATCAACTGCTGATCTTGATCCTCCTGCCACCACTAACACTAAGCTTTACTTTGGTAACTTGCCTTACAATGTTGACAGTGCAACTCTGGCTCAAATCATTCAAGATTTCGCTAACCCTGAGCTCGTTGAGGTTCTTTACAACAGAGACACAGGACAGAGTCGTGGATTCGCCTTTGTAACCATGAGCAATGTCGAAGATTGCAACATCATCATCGATAACCTCGATGGAACTGTAAGTCTCTTGTAGCCTTATTAGAAAACACAAAAGGGTAAAAACACATTTTGGTTGATGTTTTTTTGATTGGTATTTCTCAGGAGTATCTTGGTCGTGCTTTGAAAGTGAACTTTGCTGACAAACCAAAGCCTAATAAAGAACCTCTGTATCCAGAAACAGAGCATAAGCTGTTTGTTGGTAACTTGTCGTGGACTGTTACTTCCGAGTCATTAGCTGGAGCGTTTAGAGAGTGTGGAGATGTGGTTGGAGCTAGAGTTGTGTATGATGGAGATACCGGAAGATCACGGGGTTATGGCTTTGTATGTTACTCTTCCAAAGCGGAAATGGAAACCGCGCTTGAATCGCTTGACGGATTTGAGCTTGAGGGTCGGGCGATTCGAGTAAACTTGGCTCAAGGGAAGAAATTTTGATATCATACAACAACATTGTGGAATCAATTTGATTTTTATACATTAGAGTTGTGTTTAAATTGAACTAATTAACTCAAAGATCAATAAAACTTTTTATGCTAGAAGGTTTGGTAATAACTAATCAGTACCAATCCAAATTGTTAACTTGTGTGTCTTTGCAAGAAAATACAACATTAGAATCAATCAAAGCATTAATCTTGTTCCTTTCTCTGGCTAACAAGAAACCCCGAGAAGGCTCGTTTACCAAAACGAATCAGAAGCAATAATACTCTAAAATTTTAGGAGAAACCAAAGATATTTGAGGTGACAAAAAAAGTTAACCTGTCAGACAACCGTGCGACCCACCCCGGAGAGAAAGACCTAACCGGGTGGCGACCATCGACAGCGAAGAGATTCTAAACTTGTTCGATTCGTCGATCAGACTTACGTCAATCAGACTTAGATCTAAGATCAACCAGGTTTTAGGTCCTGTCTCCTTAGAAACCAAGGATACAGAGGTACAAGCCTATAGAACAAATCCTGTTCAAGTAAGGTCGTGCCCACTTATGATCTCTACCAATATATAAACAACACAACTTATCTCTACTTTAGTCGGTGTGGGACAAAGAAACGAGTCAATTAAAAAGTCACTAAACAAAGCCTAATAACAATATGTCGTCGTTTCCTTACTCAACGAACTAATTGCCTAATACGTTGTCGTTCTTTCCTCAGCGAGCTAATGAAGATAGAGGAGACTGAAACAAAGGTTTCTTCTTCTCTGAAGCTCTCTCATTTTGCTTAAACCCTAAAACAGAGGTTTCTTTGTAACTGTTAGAATATAGCTCTATACCAGAATCGGAACACACTTACGGAAAAAACTCTGTCAAAAAAAAAAGATAGCCTATCAGACAACCGTGCGACCTCCCCAGATAGGAAGACCTAACCAGGTAGCGATCCTCTACAGCAGAGGGGCTCCGAAGAGACGAACCGCCGTCAATCACACTTAGGTCACACGGCTTTGATTCATCAACCAGGTTTAAGGGCCTGTCTCCATAGAAATCAAGGAAACAGAGGTACGAGCCTATAGAACAGATCCTGTTCTACCAATATATAAACAACACAACTTATCTTACTTTAGTCGGTGTGGGACAAAGAAACAATATGTCGTCGTTTCCTTACTCAACGAACTAATTGCCTAATACGTTGTCGTTCTTTCCTCAGCGAGCTAATGAAGATAGAGGAGACTGAAACAGAGGTTTCTTCTTCTCTGAAGCTCTCTCATTTTGCTTAAACCCTAAAACAGAGGTTTCTTTGTAACTGTTAGAATATAGTTCTATACCAGAATCGGAACACACTTACGGAAAAAAACTCTGTCAAAAAAAAAAGATAGCCTGTCAGACAACCGTGCGACCACCCTAGATAGGAAGACCTAACCAGGTAGCGATCCTCTACAGCAGAGGGGCTCCGAAGAGACGAACCGCCGTCAATCACACTCAGGTCACACGGCTTTGATTCATCAACCAGGTTTAAGGGCCTGTCTCCTTAGAAATCAAGGAAACAGAGGTACGAGCCTATAGAACAGATCCTGTTCTACCAATATATAAACAACACAACTTATCTTACTTTAGTCGGTGTGGGACAAAGAAACAATATGTCGTCGTTTCCTTACTCAACGAACTAATTGCCTAATACGTTGTCGTTCTTTCCTCAGCGAGCTAATGAAGATAGAGGAGACTGAAACAGAGGTTTCTTCTTCTCTGAAGCTCTCTCATTTTGCTTAAACCCTAAAACAGAGGTTTCTTTGTAACTGTTAGAATATAGCTCTATACCAGAATCGGAACACACTTACGGAAAAAAACTCTGTCAAAAAAAAAGATAGCCTGTCAGACAACCGTGCGACCACCCCAGATAGGAAGACTTAACCAGGTAGCGATCCTCTACAGCAGAGGGGCTCCGAAGAGACGAACCGCCGTCAATCACACTCAGGTCACACGGCTTTGATTCATCAACCAGGTTTAAGGGCCTGTCTCCTTAGAAATCAAGGAAACAGAGGTACGAGCCTATAGAACAGATCCTGTTCTAACAATATATAAACAACACAACTTATCTTACTTTAGTCGGTGTGGGACAAAGAAACAATATGTCGTCGTTTCCTTACTCAACGAACTAATTGCCTAATACGTTGTCGTTCTTTCCTCAGCGAGCTAATGAAGATAGAGGAGACTGAAACAGAGGTTTCTTCTTCTCTGAAGCTCTCTCATTTTGCTTAAACCCTAAAACAGAGGTTTCTTTGTAACTGTTAGAATATAGCTCTATACCAGAATCGGAACACACTTACGGAAAAAAACTCTGTCAAAAAAAAAGATAGCCTGTCAGACAACCGTGCGACCACCCCAGATAGGAAGACCTAACCAGGTAGCGATCCTCTACAGCAGAGGGGCTCCGAAGAGACGAACCGCCGTCAATCACACTCAGGTCACACGGCTTTGATTCATCAACCAGGTTTAAGGGCCTGTCTCCTTAGAAATCAAGGAAACAGAGGTACGAGCCTATAGAACAAATCCTGTTCTAACAATATATAAACAACACAACTTATCTTACTTTAGTCGGTGTGGGACAAAGAAACAATATGTCGTCGTTTCCTTACTCAACGAACTAATTGCCTAATACGTTGTCGTTCTTTCCTCAGCGAGCTAATGAAGATAGAGGAGACTGAAACAGAGGTTTCTTCTTCTCTGAAGCTCTCTCATTTTGCTTAAACCCTAAAACAGAGGTTTCTTTGTAACTGTTAGAATATAGCTCTATACCAGAATCGGAACACACTTACGGAAAAAAACTCTGTCAAAAAAAAAGATAGCCTGTCAGACAACCGTGCGACCACCCCAGATAGGAAGACCTAACCAGGTAGCGATCCTCTACAGCAGAGGGGCTCCGAAGAGACGAACCGCCGTCAATCACACTCAGGTCACACGGCTTTGATTCATCAACCAGGTTTAAGGGCCTGTCTCCTTAGAAATCAAGGAAACAGAGGTACGAGCCTATAGAACAGATCATGTTCTAACAATATATAAACAACACAACTTATCTTACTTTAGTCGGTGTGGGACAAAGAAACAATATGTCGTCGTTTCCTTACTCAACGAACTAATTGCCTAATACGTTGTCGTTCTTTCCTCAGCGAGCTAATGAAGATAGAGGAGACTGAAACAGAGGTTTCTTCTTCTCTGAAGCTCTCTCATTTTGCTTAAACCCTAAAACAGAGGTTTCTTTGTAACTGTTAGAATATAGTTCTATACCAGAATCGGAACACACTTACGGAAAAAAACTCTGTCAAAAAAAAAAGATAGCCTGTCAGACAACCGTGCGACCACCCCAGATAGGAAGACCTAACCAGGTAGCGATCCTCTACAGCAGAGGGGCTCCGAAGAGACGAACCGCCGTCAATCACACTCAGGTCACACGGCTTTGATTCATCAACCAGGTTTAAGGGCCTGTCTCCTTAGAAATCAAGGAAACAGAGGTACGAGCCTATAGAACAGATCCTGTTCTACCAATATATAAACAACACAACTTATCTTACTTTAGTCGGTGTGGGACAAAGAAACAATATGTCGTCGTTTCCTTACTCAACGAACTAATTGCCTAATACGTTGTCGTTCTTTCCTCAGCGAGCTAATGAAGATAGAGGAGACTGAAACAGAGGTTTCTTCTTCTCTGAAGCTCTCTCATTTTGCTTAAACCCTAAAACAGAGGTTTCTTTGTAACTGTTAGAATATAGCTCTATACCAGAATCGGAACACACTTACGGAAAAAAACTCTGTAAAAAAAAAAGATAGCCTGTCAGACAACCGTGCGACCACCCCAGATAGGAAGACCTAACCAGGTAGCGATCCTCTACAGCAGAGGGTCTCCGAAGAGACGAACCGCCGTCAATCACACTCAGGTTACACGGCTTTGATTCATCAACCAGGTTTAAGGGCCTGTCTCCTTAGAAATCAAGGAAACAGAGGTACGAGCCTATAGAACAGATCCTGTTCAAGTAAGGTCGTGACCAATGATGATCTCTGGTGATATATAAACAACACAACTTATTTTTACTTTAGACGATGTGGGACAAAGAAACGACTCAAGTTACTTAACAAAGCCTATACGCCGTCGTTTCCTTCATCAACAAACTAATTGCCTAATAGGCTAATACGTCGTCGTTTTCTTCGTTAGTGAGCTAATGAAGAGACTGAAACAGAGGTTTCTTCTTTCTTCTCTGAAATCTCATTTTGCTTAAACCCTAAAACCTCATTTGGATTAGGTTTTGTCCAATCTTATCCGCCGTGATAAAATCTGATTCTTTTTTTTTTCATGAAAATTGAGTTTTTGTGAAGTCCGATGATTCTCTCACGCTCTGTCTCTGTGCTTCATTTGTGTGGAGTCTCATCTTCAGCACCGTCGAAGCTTTTATCTCAGAGGTTCAAGGTCTCGTTCGCTCTCGCTTATGGTTCATCTGTTTCTTTCCGTTTAAGCTCTCTTAATCGATCTGATAGAAAATGGGTTCGTGGGTTTGCGTCTACTACTGAAGCAGAAGTAGAGAAAAAGGGTAATGATACGTTTTTTGCTGACAATACCGTTTCTTGGAAGTCTCTTGGGTTATCAGATAAGGTCTCTATAGCTCTTCGAGATTCTGGGTTCGATAGACCATCTCTCACTCAGGTAAGTTTTCAAATTTAGTAAAACCTAACAGAGAACTTGTAGAAGCATTTGTTGATTGTGAAATGATAAGTTAAAGATCATGTTTTTCTGTAGTGGAAGAGAAAAAAGGAGCCTTTTTTACTACTAAGTTCAAAGGCAATCATTTTTTGTTTTTGGTTCTGAAATGTTTGATTTTGAATCTGATTCTCTACTGTTTTTGCTTATTAGGCTGTTTGTATACCGTCTATATTGTCCGGGAAAGATGTTATTGTCGCAGCAGAAACTGGTAGTGGTAAAACACATGGATATCTTGCTCCAATAATTGATAGATTGACGAACACCGCTATTGATTCTGAGGGTTTGAATGGGGAGGAAAGGCCGTTTCCGCTTAAGAATCTATCTCTTATTCTATGTCCAAATGTGATGCTGTGTGAACAAGTGGTTCGGATGGTTAATGGTCTTGTTGGTGAAGATGGTAATCCACTTCTTAGAGTTGAAGCTGTTTGCGGAGCACAGGTAATACCTAATCTGTCTTCTGTAACCTTTGTTTATTGATATGAGCTCTGTTCCTTTGTAAGTGTTTGAATATAGCTGAATATGGAAGTTGTATATGCTGCAGGGTTGGCCAGATAGACTGCCTGATATAATTGTTTCGACACCCGCTGCTCTTCTGAATAATATTGAGCCGAAAAGAAATAGGCGTCTGGAATTTCTGCGATCTGTCAAATATGTGGTATGGTTTTCTTGTTTAGACTTTGGAGTTGTGTTGTTTTGTGTTCTGAGCAATTTTGGAATTGCAGATTTCCTTTTGAATGTTTGGATAACTTGCAGGTCTTTGATGAAGCTGATATGCTTCTGTGCGGAAGCTTCCAGAATCAGATTATTCGTCTGATAAATATGCTGCGTTTCGATGAGAAACAAGTGTCTCGTTTGGCTACATCCACAATTGGCAAACCAATGGAGATTGATGCCTCTGTACCCCAAATTGATCTAGAAAATGAGGATGATGCAGAATTTGATGATGGATCTATTTCCGAGGAAGAGGAAGAAGAAGAGGAAGAGGAATATATTGATGATACAGCACATATGCCTAGTGTTGAAGCTGAAGCTGGGTCAGATACCAAAAAGGGCTGGAGGAGAGTGAGAAAGATCTATAGCCGGAGTAAGCAGTATATCTTCATTGCAGCCACACTTCCAGTTAACGGGAAGAAGACTGCCGGAGGAATTTTGAAACATATGTTTCAAGATGCTATTTGGGTTAGTGGAAACTTTCTTCACCGAAACAGTCCGAGGTGAAAACTTCTCTCTTTTATCTTCGTTGAAGTACTGTGCATCACTCACCCCTTTGAATATATAGAGGTCTAACTGGGAATAGAAAATGATTATAAGCTCTTGGTTGGAAGCTATTGCTTTGATGTTCATAAGAAACATTGGCAATCTGATTCTCTTGATCAATTAAGTAGAATTTTTTTGTACGCCACTCAAACTCAGATTTTGTTTTTGTCTTTGCTATGTTGCAGACTAAAGCAAAAATGGGTTGAAGTCACAGTAGACTCACAAGTTGATGCTCTTATAGAGGCTGTAAAAAACAATAACAACACCAACACAGAGAGGACGATGGTGTTTGCAAACACGGTCGAAGCTGTTGAAGCGGTGGCCGATATATTGGAGAAAGCTAGTATTCAGTGTTATCGTTATCACAAGAACCACAAGCTAGACGAACGTGCTAATATATTAGCTGATTTCAGAGAAACCGGCGGTGTCTTTGTTTGCACCGATGCCGCTGCCCGGGGAGTTGATGTTCCTAATGTCTCACACGTTATTCAGGTTTCTTTTCTAATTTCAACCAACACCCTCTTCAAAGTGCTTGGCTTTCTAAAACCATAGTGAACATTCTCGAGGGTGATTGCAGGCGGATTTTGCTAGTTCTGCAGTGGATTTCCTTCACAGGATAGGCCGAACAGCTAGAGCTGGGCAATATGGAACAGTGACCAGTCTATACACCGAGGCTAACCGTGATTTAGTAGAAGCAATCCGTGAAGCAGTGAAGATGGGCCACCCAGTGGTATAAATTCTATGAAACTCCCATGATCTCAATTCAGTTTTATCTTCCGTACTAGAATCCGCAATATTATTTTCTCATGAACATTAGCATATTTCTTCTGATGATTCATTCTTGTCTTATGGTATATGAAATATTCAGGAAACTGCATTCAGCAGGAAGAGAGGTTTTAGGAACAAGGTTAAGAAGAGAGGTAAGTAAACTAAGAATCCATAGATGCAAAACAATGAGAAAGATAGAGAAGCTAATTATGTTTAATGTTTCAGCTTTTTTGAAAGCTGGAGAAGCAGAGGAGCCTCAAGCTGTGAGATTTTAAGTTCTGTTGTTTTTTACAATTTCATAGGCGTTGTTGTATATAGAAGTCGCAAAATCGAATAATCACTATTTGTAATTTTCAATTAATACAATCTCTTTTTGATATCAATTAATACAATCTCTTTTATGCGAAGCTTCTTTTCGTCTTTTTATCGTCTTCCGGTGATTCATTCTTGTGTTATGGTGATTGATGAATTTTGTTACTTCAATCTTCTTGGTGTACATTGGAACAATGCTCCCTCTTCATGAGAGCCAGCGAATGATGTGTGTTGTCTGAAACTGATATGGAGAGTAGTCTCTCATGGCTCTTCGCTGTGGGTAAAGTTGGTTACAACTTATTTGCTAAAGAGAGAATCCTTCTGGTCTATTCAGGAAAATACGATTTCGGGGTCGTGGATATAGCGAAAAATCTTGAAATATAGGGAAGTGGCAAAAACGTTTGCAAGAGTGAAGCAAGGAATGGGGCCTTTATCTCATTCTGGTATTAGAACTCGTCTACACTCGGGTGCCTAATGCTAATGGACATGACTAGTCCTAGAGGCGTCATAGATTTGGGGACTGGAAGGAATCCTTCCCCAAGGCATGAAGATCTCGGAGAAGAAGAAGACACCGGGTCGGAAATTTGAACTTAATAGAGATTGCACTTGAACAACAGTGGCGAGGTAAAGATACGGCACCAGAGGATCTCTTTTTATGGCGATGTAAGGGGGACTCTTAGAAAGTTCTTTCTCAATGAAATACACTTGAAACCACATTCGGACAACATCGAACAAAGTTGTGTGATACAAGGGAGTATGATTCACTCATGCGACACCAAAATACTCCTTTTGTACTAGCCTTGCGATGAAAAATCGACATTTTAACGGAGAATCGTCTTCTCAGCTGGAACACATGTTCAATGTCCACTTGTGTCTTATGTCAAAATCATATAGAAACAAGGGACCATATGTTCTTTATATGCAGCTACTCGACAACAGTGTGGACTGCACTTGTGAATTCCAAGTGTCATCATGTAATATTCCAGTTATCCATGTAAGAGTGTCTACTCCATTCTATATCTCCGATACTAGATGTCTAGATCATGTAATTTGTGAATTTTTCTTCAAATATATGAGCCCCGTGAACGATTGTGTGCATCTAGAAAGAATAGTTCGTCAGATTTTTCTTTTATTATTTAAATCTGTAGTCTATGTATGGGAAACAAACAAACATCACACATCGCAAGATTAAAAAATTATTGTCTAATATATAAGTCAAGTGCAACTCTAATTAGTATGCGATCTTTTGGAAAAGAATCTAAAAACAAATTTGGGTGTTACGCCACTTATCCCAAAACAGATAATATCATACTAATTGGAAAGTTGGGTTGGGCTTGGAGAACCCAACAATTGGTATCAAAACCTAGGTAAAAAAAAATAGACCAAGGTAGAAAATATGATGTCATTAGAAGAAATATATTTTTGTCCAACTAGATTTTATAATGTGAAACTTATGTGGTAAAGTATGATTTTCAAAGTTAATAACTCATAGGATCGTGACACGTGGCAAATCTATCGATCTTAGATTTTGACACGTGTAAAACAAAAATTTCCTTTAAAAAAAAAGATAAGTAATTATAAATTTAAATAATTTTAAAAATGTAAAAGATAATTATAAGGATAATTGTAAATAATTAATATTTCTATAAACACTTTAAAAAATTTCAAAAGATAATAATAAGGAAATTATACATTTTTAATAATTAAAAATATATATTTCAATTAAACAAGAAACAAATCAGGCAAATGTATTAAAAAGGAAACATATGTTATTATATAACTAATATTATTTATTTTGATTTCTCAAAGTTAGTAATTAATAGTATCATGAACCGGTATCAGTCAAAGATTTTATCATTTGTCATGATTTAATTTAAAATTTGAAATTATTTATCTCAATTTCCTTTCCAATTAGAAATATGTGATAGTTTAATTAGACTAATCCTCATCT